TTTTTTTGCTTTCCCTTCTTTTTTTTTAATCCTTTGGGACTCTCTTTCCCCTTCTCTCCTTATTTCCTTCCCCTCCCCCTGTTTCTCCTCCTCCCCTTCCTTCTGCTGCACCTTCTTTCCCCTCCTTGCTTCCTCTTCAGTCCCTTGCCATGCTCGCTTGGTCTGAGGAGGCTCCTGCGAGGTCCTGATGTGTGCGCCTCTCTCTCTCTCGCTGCACACTCTCCTCGTTTGTCCTGAGTATTTGGACTTCTTCTCCTGTCTCCCTCACCTGTTTTACTGAAACAACAAAAAAAAAAAAAAAAGGGGGGGGGGGGGGGGAGGCTTCTATCCTGCCAAAGTGCAACAGCGGGCACAAACAAAGAGAGGCAGATGAGAAGAGGCAGAGGGAGGCAGAGTGAGCGATGGAGACAAAGAGTAGAAATAGCTCAAGAGCATTGCACACAGAATGAAGCAGGGCAAAGCACATGCACCCCCCAAGCATTCACCATCACACAAAGTGCTCCCAACATAGACCTATGACTTCATCAAGTCACACACACACATCTATATGCAAACATGTGCAAGTGCAACCAGGCGTGGACGCCGTCAGACTTGCTGAGTGCTACAGATATAGCTTCATGACTTCATCGAGGGGCAAACCACTCCTCCTCCTCCTCCTCCTCCTCCATCGTCCCTCCCTGTGTGTATGAGACACAGGGGGACTCATTCATATTGAATCAAGCTGCAGGAGAGACGGAGCGAGCATTCAGGACCAGACAGGAACTATCCCTCAGACAGATGGATAAAGGAGGAGACATAATATATATTAAAAAAAGACAATGAAGAGAACATTCTGTATTCTGGCTTTCAAAAAAGCATTTTTTTCTGCTAATTATAATAAATGTTTAAACCTTGTAAATTCTCTAACACTTCTTCTTGTATTTTTCAGCAAATTTCAGACACTCTCACATAAAAGATGACAGTTTTTGGTTCATCACCAGTCTGATTTCATGTTTAGTTTGTTCACTGACAAATAATTTGAAAGATGATGTGAATTATTAAGTACACCGTGATTATCAACTCTGCTTTGCTTTTCAAAAAGGCAAGATGTTTGTCACATTGATGTCCTGTGCGGCGCGGTCAAGTTTGTAGTTTTGTTATTTTAAAATCAGGATAATGTAAAAGCATGGAGAATTGTCCATCTTTACATATATCAAGTCTAATAAACTCCAGTTCACACATTTACTAAAAACAAATGTAAATATACAAAAACTTAAAACAATATTTTAAGCACAAAAGCCCTCCAAGTTAATTATTTATTCAACGCTCAGCATTCAGAGAGCACATCCTCTGCCAAGGTCAGTGGTTTTAGTTAACGGGCACATTCTTTCACTGAGCCCCTATTTTTTTTTGTGCTTTACTTCTTTACGAGTTTCACAAAAGCAAAGATGGAACTGTCACACGAGCAAAATAAAATCCAAGACGTTCTTGCTTCATTTACTTACAACCTGAGGCGATAAAATCAAACAAAGCCACCTTCAAATCAGATCAAATGCAGCTCAGAACGATCTTACTTTTCTTTAATCAAAGCCATACATCATTCCAGATAAAACTGTAACCATATAGAGAAACATATCTGCAGCTTAAATACTTTACACAAAAATAAAAGTCTTTACAGCACTCTCAGCTGCACGGGCTTCTATGGATGAACATAATTTGATTACAGCGCCCTCTAGTGGCAAAATGCAGGATACCCACACTTTTTCACCATGTGAGCTACTCTTAAAATGACCAAGTCAAAGTGATCTACCTACAATAATTCCCTGTTTACACGAGAACAACCTCTGGAAACGTTGGTGTTTTTCAATGTTTATTGGGGGTTTAAAAAAAAAAAAAAAAAGAGCAGGTTTACATGTCAGTCGGGTTGCCAGAAAAGAAATTATGAAATATAGTACTGTTGCTTTAAAATTATAATATTTTTGACCTAAACTGTCATTCAAAGGTTCAAGGACTCAAGGTTTTTTTTATTGTCGTTCACATGGCATATGGTACATGAGGTGGTATGTACACAGGGTCTCAGTTACATCCAACAATAGCAAAAATGTAAAGTGTAAAAAGAAACAGTAAAGAAACTGGTCCATATGACATGATTTAACCTTTTTTGTTGTTATCTACCTGGATGATTGAGCATACAAACCTTTTTTTTTTGTAAATAAGGATCTAAGATATCAACTAAGATATATGCTAAACGAACGCCCATCGGTACGCTCAAAGATCTAAGATATACGCTAGTCACTAATAGTGCAAAACAATACACCAAACAACAGCAGCGCGATTCTCATAGGTTCAGTTTGGCTATAATTTACTTGCTTAATGCGAGCACTAACTTAATGAATATGCTAAGCGCTAATAGCACATAGTCATATGTACTATGTACTATTAGTACATAGTACATATCATATGTGCTGAGTAAAGATATTCTAAGATGAGTTGTGCATTGATTGTTGAACATGTGCACAGAAAAGGAGGGGGTAAATAAAACATTTTAAATTTATCTGGCAACCCTGATGCAGGGCTCAGGTGTATTCATCGTGCATGCAGTGTCTGATACACTAACGTCTCTTTGGACCCTGGAGTTTATAAGTTTAGCTACTACATGCTGAAAAAGGGTGAGTAGCACATAAACACTCTGCTCTCTCACACACACACACACAAAATCACTCTGTCTTATGGGGGCCACTATATAACAAACTGCTGCATGCACGAAACGCACACACACACTATGACACCAGGCTCTTCAGTCGTGTCAAACTGGCCGATGAAATATCGGCGTGTAAACAAAGTTGTCACCTTGATAAAGCGTTAAAATCGAAGATAAAATCTCAGACGATTCATTCTTTTGCCGAATCCTCTGAGAATGCTGAGTCAGCTCTGAGAGACATAAAGTCCTCGGGAGTGAAAAAGGAAATCATTTCTCCTGCAAAGCGATCCATCAAAATGAGCATAAATATTGCTCTTTTTTATGTTTTTACTTTATATAAGGGACTTAACTTTTAAAGTTGCTATATTTTAATGTGATATATCTTTATATCTGACATAGAGAGGAATCTGTTTTACCTAATGATTGCCTGGGATTTTAGGGGCGATAAATGTAAGGGATAAAACAAAATTTTATTTCGTAAAGCCACATTAGAAGGTCAGGTGCAGATATTAAATACCTGCTGATGGGAAAGCTGTAATGATCTAGGAGGAGAAAAAGATGCTGCGAGACAATACAGGATAATATGAAACACCATATCCTGGGCACCCCCCCCCCACTCTCTGCTACACGCTTCATCCATTACCACCGAGAGACACAGCCAAGTTTCCCCGTCCCCTGAGTTAGAATATAACACGAGACTTTCTGTCTCTCCCTTTTTATCTCCCTCACACACATGCAGCTAATGTGGTGCTGATGGAGGGGTGTACAAAAAGCTAAAGCAAAAAAAAAAAAAAGGGGGGGGGGGGGGGGGGGGGATTGGGGGGGAAAAAAAAAAAAAAAAAAAAAAAAAAAAAAGGGGGGGGGGGGGGAGTGGCAATTTGAGAGGAATGAAAAAGAGAAAAAACTCCTAAAATTAGGAGAAAACAATAAAGAAGACAAGGCAACAAACACAAGTAAATGAACAACACGCCTTTATCTAATGTGCAACTTTCTCTCCATTTTACCTAAATATTTAAGTCACTACTTCTTCTTATTTTCCCTCTTCAGGGGTCTCCACAGCGAGTCATCCTCCTCCACCTGACTCTGTCCTCTGCATCCTCTGTCCTCACTCCATCTACCTCCATGTCCTCTCTAACTGCATCCATATTTCTCCTCTTTGTCTTTATTCTGGCAGCTGCATTTCTAACATCCTTCTACCAATATACCCACTGTCCCTCCTCTGGACATGTCCAAACCATCTCAGTCTGGCCTCTCTAACTTGATCTCCCAGTTGTTCAACCCATGCTGTACCTCTGATTTCATTTAAAACATCTACCTTCCTTCTCAGCATCATGTCAGCCAGCTCTCTACCGTTGCCTGTTATTGTCCCCACATTTAGAGTTTCTACCCTCAGTCCTACTTTCTTGACTTTCCTCTTCTCCCTCTGTCTCCTGACATGTTTTTCTCCTCGTGGTCTTCGACTAACAGTAGCACACTTTTCGCTGGCACCCTGTTTGTCAACAGCACCGGTGGCGGTCGTTGTTAACCCGGGCCTCGACCGATCCGATATGGTTTCGCTTTGACGAACTCGCATTATAGTTTTGGCAAAAGTGTGTTACGTCAGATGCCCTTCCTGACACAACCCTCTCCATTTACCCAGGCTTGGGACCAGCACAAGAGATACACTGGCTTGTGCTCCCTATGACTGGTTTCAACAGTCACTATAAAGATTATAAATAATCCAAACTGTGAACCTCTACACCTCCTCTTGTTTGTCGGATTATTGGGTAACACTTATCCAGTGGTAAAAAACCTTCATTTTGTTTAGCATTTAGCTTCAGGGCCAGAATATAACAAGACTTTATATTTTGTTTTACTGGCATTAGGATGCTATATGAACCTTACACACATAAAGAAGAAAATCTAATGTGCAAACATGCCCCATTTGAGTTGCTTGCATTGTGGGGTTTATGTAAATCCAGAGGGGGTATGTCAATAAAAGCTTATAGGTCCCCCCCACACCCCCTCTATTAACAGCTATGCTAGCCTCAGCACATTATCAGTTCAATAGAAAAAGGTGAAGACCGCGGGAAGCAAGTGAAGGCCTCAAAGATCATCAGTGAGGTAGAGAAGTGTTAAAAAGATGAACAATTATAGTGTTTTAAACGCAGTCAGTGCAAATGTAGATAGAACGATAACAAGGCAAACCTCATTCTCTTGTGATTTGCTAAATCTCAGGGTTCAGCTACTTGCAGCAGCAACACTGTGCACTGTGCTCCATAATGTTGTAATGTAAACCGAAGATCGAGTCCTGAAAAGCGTTTTTGTTTGTAGCGTCCTTCTACCTGTCGTGGTCTCGTCCGACACCCCACACACGGATGCTGCTGATTGGCTGCGAGTGGAGCAAGCTGCGATCGTCTGGGTCAACGAGGGTCAGCGTGCGATCCTGAAGCACTAAAAGCATCCCTTTACCCTGTAAAGCAAACAAACAGGAACACACTGAAGCCGAAGTTTACAACTGAGGGTGGAAGGAATGTGCAGCACTATAAATCAGTCTGGTCTTCATGACAGGATCATAGTTGATGTTCTCATCTTCTCTGGAAGCTTGTGGTGGGAAATTACTTTTACGAACAGTCCTACTAGTTCAGTGTTCCCGTGTGTTAAACTGATGTAGCCTATAGCCTGATGTCTTCAGACATAAATGTGACACCTGGTTTAAATAACAGACCGGTATGATGGCAGTCAGGATGGATGACAAAGCTCCTCCATTTCTTTTGTTTAACTGGACCAATATAATGCTTTTTTTCTTCTTCTTTCGGCTGTTCCCTCCCTCAGGGGTCGCCACAGCGAACTAACTCGCAGGAAGATTTGGCGAATGTTTTTACACCAGATGACCTTCTTGATGCAACCACAGCCCTCTGTGTGGAGCAGAGAGCTGCTATCTAGGGCACCCGGGGGAGCAGATGACAGGGGTTAAGGACCTTGGTCAGAGTGAGGGTGGCTGCAGGTGTGTTTCACTTTTCCCACCCACATTTTGATGTTGTCAGTACCGGGAGTTGAACCGGTGACCTTCTCTAACCTCTTCACCACCACTCCCCCAACAGGGATATGAATATTTGATTGGATGTCATCATTTAAGAGGATTTGGACTTGAACCTCACTAGTAAATAATTTGAAAAACGACACACTTATTCATCAGTTTGATGTTTGAATTTATGCAATTTCAGCTTCATATTAAAAAAATATTATAAATAATCACAGAAACAAGAAAAGTCCTGTTAATCTTTTGAGACTTGATGCACTTCTGCACTCCTCATCCTTTGAGTATAGTTGGTTTTAAAAAGATCAGTGAAGTTAGCATATATTAAAAGTGAGGCAGTAAATTAAACCTGGTGGGTTTCAACTTCCTCATTTAGGGCTGACCTTATTATAGTTATCACACTGTTGACCTTCAAACAGAGGTTAAAAGCGTGTTAGGATTTTTTTTTTTGTCTCCAAACCCTATGTGTCATTTTTCACCACTTTTTATTGTCTGTCCAAACAGGTCTCACTTGTAAATGAGTCTTTGAGGCTCAATGTGACTTATCTGTTTAAGTAAAGGTTGAATGAATAGTCTATAAATGTCTCTCAGTCGGCACACCGACCTCTCCCCAGACCCCGGCTGAGTCTCGGATGTCCCTCCTGCAGTAGGACAGCTGTCTGATACAGTGGTGGACGGCCACGCTGCTCCGTCCCTCGCACAGGTCCTTCTCTGCCATCTCCACCCAGCCCAGAGATCGAACTGGAAATGACTGGGAGAGACCAACATGTTGTTTAGATGACCTCTTTTCGTCCAGCATCGTTCTGCAGTGACAGTTTGCACAGCCGATCCAGATCTTCACTTTACGCTCTGACGGATGATTTGTTAAAAATATGTCTGATTATCTGACTTTTCATGTTTCTCTCACTGAGTCTAAGGTCAAATGTTTCAGAACCCAATGAGGTGACGACTTTATCATAAAAAAAAACTCACACAGAAATTATAAACCTTACTGAGCTGAGCTGTGATTCTATTCATGAGCTACACACATGCAGATGAAGCCCACCACAGTCTGGTAATGTAAAACGATGCATTAAGGAGTTGCTTCAGTTCAAGCACTGACTTGCAGCAGTGATGGACCATCAGAACAACAGTTTAAAGAAGCAGAAAGATCTGAAGCTCTAAACCTTGATCACTCTAAGTGGCTTTAAACATCTGTTAAGTTCCTGGGAAAAACCAATGTTCTTGTTTTTAGTTTTTTACGCCGCCCTAAAACCTAGCTGGGTTTTTTTGTGTGTGCGTGTGTTACTTTTCCTTTTAATTACCAATTTATTTTCATATGTAAAAAAAATAAAATCTCAATTTGTATGCATCCTATATGATTATTTATTGTTGTCTTTGTTGTCTACTGTTGTCATCACTCTTTGTTAAAATCAGGTCTCTCTTGTAAATGAGTCCCGGAGGCTCATTGGGATTAACCTGTATAAATAAAGGTTAAACGAAAAATTGTTGGGCCTTCAGTCCCAGGCCTCCCTTGCAAGAGATCTAGGATCTCAGTGGGATTTGCCTGGTTAAATAATAGTTACTAACAAATTAACTAACTAAATAAATACATTAAATATATATATATATATATATATATATATATATATATATATATATATATATATATATATTTCTTCTTCTTTCGGCTGCTCCCTTCTTCAGGGGTCACCACAGCGAACTAAGTCGCACAAAATAAATAAATAAATAAATCTGTTGTCCTTACTTTTCAAAAGCCATCTATTTAAAGGGCTCTAACACATGTAGGCTATAAAAATCACTTGTCTTTTCTCCACACCCCCACTGATCATCCATCCATCCATTATCTTTACCCGCTTATTCCATTTTTGGGTCACGGGGGTCACTGGTGCCCATGTCCAGCAATCACTGTGCGAGGGGCGGGGTACACCCTGGACGGGTCGCAAGTCCATCACAGGGACACATAGAGACAAATGAGACAAACAACCACTCACTCTCTCACTCACACCTAGGGACAATTCAGAGTTACCAATCAGCCTAACATGCATGTTTTTGGTCTGTGGGAGGAAACCGGAGTACCCGGAGAAAACCCACGCATGCACGGAGAGAACATGCAAATTCCACCCAGAAGGGTCCCTGGACCGGGGTTTGAACCAAGGACCTGCTCGCTGGGAGGCAGCAGCTCTACCAGTTGCACCACCGTGCTGC